TACAATAAATCAAAAAAAAATCAGCCGGGCATGGTAGCGCGCGCCTGTAATTCCGGCTACTTGGAAGGTTGAGGTGGAAGGATCGCCGGAGCCCAGCGGATTGAGGCTGCGGTGGCCGGGAGCGCCACTGCACTCGTCTGGGTGACCGAGTGAGACTCCAACTCAAAAAAAAAAGAATATGAGGTTGAGCCGGGCTCGGTGGCTCAGCCTGTAATCCCCACGCCTTTGGGAAGCTGAGATGAGTGGATTGCCTGAGCCTGCGGGTTCGAGACCCACCTGGGCAACTTGGCGAGACTCACCTCTACAATAAAAAAAAAAAAAAAATCAGCCGGGTGTGGTAGCGCATGCCTGTAATTCCGGTTACTTGGAAGGTGGAGGTGGAAAGATCACCGGAGCCCAGCAGGTTGAGGCTGCGGTGGCCGGGAGCGCCCACTGTACTCCAGTCTGGGTGACAGAGTGAGACTCCAACTCAAAAAAAAAAAAAAAAAAAATATGAGGTTGGCCGGGCGCCATGGCTCAAGCCTGTAATCTCAGCACTTTGGGAGGTAGAGGTGAGAGGATTGCCTGAGCCCATGGATTCAAGACCAGCCTGCGCAATTTGGCGAGACCTTGTCTCTACAATAAATCAAAAGATTAGCTGGGCATGGTAGCATGTGCCTGTGGTTCCAGTTACTTGGAAGGCTGAGGTGGAAAAATTGCCTGAGCCCTGCAGGTCGGGTCGAGGATGCAGTGGCCATGAGCATGCCACTGCACTCCAACCTGGGTGACAGAGTGACACTCTGACTCAAAATTTAAGAAAAAAAATGAGGTCAGTGTGTGCATATGAGGGGCCAGTTTGTTTTTCACATAAACGAATGGGTAGGTATATTGGAGGACATCAGTGTGTATGACAGGATGTTGGAAGGACAAATCTGTGTCTGAGGAAATATGTTTGTGTTTAAGGGGCTTATGCAATATGAGCATAATGTCAAGGGTGCATGTGTGTGTGTGTGTGTGTGTGTGTGTGTGTGTGTGTGTGTGTGTGTGAGAGAGAGAGAGAGAGAGAGAGAGAGAGAGAGAGAGCAAAGGAATCTGAAGGCATAATTTCTCTTTCTCAAAAGTAAACACCCAGAGGAGGGCTGAAGGATTATTCTAGTCTTGGTTCTTTCATCCATTATAATTAGATTTGTTGACCAGGTGTGGTGGCTCACACCTGTAATCTCAGCACTTTGGGAGGCTGAGGAGGAAGGACCACTTGAATGCAGCAGTTTGAGACCAGCCTGGGCAACATAGAGAGACCCTGTCTTTACAAAATATCAAAAAATTAGTCGGGCATGGTGGTGAATGCCTGTAATCCCAGCTACTTGGAAGGCTGAGGCGGAAGGATCACCTGAACCCAGCAGGTCAAGGCTGCAGTGACCGGGAGTGTGCCACTGCACTCCAGCCTGGGCAACAGAGTGAGACTCCAACTCAAAAAAAAAAAAATTAGACTTGGAGTTGGGCACAGTGGCTCATGTCCGTAATCAGAGCACTTTGGGAGGTTGAGGTGGGTGAATCGCTTGAGGCCAGGAGTTTGAGACCAGCCTGGGCAACATAGTGAAACCTGGTCTCTTTTTATTTTTATTTTTTGTTTGAGTTGAAGTCTCACTTTGTTGCCCAGACTGTAGTGCAGTGGCATACTCACGGCTACCCCAGCCTGAATCTGCTGGGCTCAGGTGAGCCTTCCACCTCAGTCTTCCAAGCAGCTGGAAGTACAGGAGTGTGCTACCACGCCCAGCTAATTTTTTAAAAAAATTTATTGTAGAGAAGATGTCTTGTCATGTTGCCCAGGCTGGTCTCGAACCTGTGGGCTCAGGCAATCCTCTTGCCTCCACTTCCCAAAGTGCTGAGATTACAGGTGTTGAGCCACTGTGCCTGGCCTGAAACCTGGTCTCTTAAAAAATATTTTTTTTACGATGACTCATGCTTGTAATTCCAGCCTGGGCAACCTGGCGAGACCTCATCTCTACAATAAATGAAAAAGTAGTCAGGAGTAGTGGTATGCACCTGTGGTTCCAGCTACTTGTAAGGCTAAGGTGGAAGCATTGCCTGAGCCCAGCAGGGCGAGGCTGCAGTGGTCGTGAGCATGCCATTGCACTCCAGCCTGGGTGTCAGAGTGAGACTCTGACTCAAAAAAAAGTTTTAATTAAAAAGAAAATATTTGGTTTCTAATAGCAGAAAACAAAAGTAACTGTGGGCTTAGTAAGATACAACATAATTTCTCTTTCTCAAAAGTAAACACCCAGAGGCAGGCATCCTAAGGCTGGTGTGACGGTTCTGCTCCACAAAATCCTCAGGGATGCAGGCTCATTGGCCTCTGGTTTCACCATCACTCCACATCCGAAATGGCAACTACCTGCCACCAATCTCTGCTCCCAGTCTCTTTTTATTCCTTTACTGGAAACCTCCCTAGTAACATTATTCACATTCATGGTTTCACTGCACTGACTCCAGACCTGTGGCCCTGTCCTGCTTTTTCTGTAGAACTTCATTACCAGTATATCCAAATGCCAGTTGGCCATCTCTCCTGTGATGTCCCACAGAGCTTCCTTTTAACATGTTCAAGACTACTCTGCATTCTTTCCTTAACTTCCTCTCCTTCTGTGGGCCCCACCTTAGCAAGAAACCTGAGCATCCTGATTTTCCTACCCATGGTGTTTTACTACTCCATTTTCTTTCTTTCTTTTATTTTTGAGTTGAGTCTCTGTTGCCCAGGCTATAGTGCAGTGGCACACTCACGGCCACCCCAGCCTCAACCTGCTGGGCTCAGGCGATCCTTCTGCCTCGGCGTTCCAAGTAAGTGGCTGTAACTCCAAGCATGCACCACCACACCCAGCTAATTTTTGGATTTATTGTAGAGATGAGGTCTTGCCAAGTTGCCCAGGTTGGTCTCGAACCTGTGGGCTCAGGCAATCCTCTCACTTCGGCCTCCACTTTCTTAAAAACTCCTGTATCTGTCCCATTCTCTCTATCCTGCCATTATCTTGGTTCTCATCCATCATTTCTAGTTTGGATTACTACCCCTGACTTGAATTTAATCCAGGCTGCCACTAGAGTGATTTTTCTAAAACAAAATTAGGCCTATTACTCCCTAACTTTAAATTGCTCCATGCCAGGTGTGGTGGCTCACACCTGTAATCCCAACACTTTGGGAGGCTGAGGCAAGAGGACTGCCTGAGCTCAGGGGTTCAAGACCAGCATGAGTAACATGGTGAGACCTTGTGTCTACAATAGATAAAAAAATTAGCGCGGAGTGGTGGTGTACGCCTGTGGTTCCAACTACTTGGAATGCTGAGGCGGAAGGATTGCCTGAGCCCAACGGGTAGAGGCTGTGGTGGCCATGATCGTGCCACTGCATTCCAGCCTGGGTAATGGAGATTCTGACTCAAAAAAAAAAAACAAAAACCAAAAAAACAAAAACCAAAGAAAAACTCCTCCATTAGCCCCTTGTTTGATTCAATATTAGTATCAAAATGTCCCATGGAGCTTTCTAAACACACACAACCCCAATCCAGGTGATGAAAAACAATTCCCCCTAGGAAATGAAACACTTGATATTTATGTGCCAGCATCACGCTATATGTTTTCTTACATTATCTCTTACTCTTCAGAACTTCACGAGTAGGGATTATTTCATTTCACAACTGTACAGTGAAACACAAGAGAGGAGAGAGTTTGCCTGAAATTACTGAATCACGTGGAGTGGAACTGAACATTGGGGCCGCCAATCTGACTCGAGTTCAATTTAACGGGAAGGATCTCCCAAGTCAGAGTCTCTGCATGTGATTCCAACAGGTTTGCTCTGTTAGGGTAGAATGGACTGCTTTATGCTCAATATGCCTTTTTGTTTGTTTTGGTTCGGGGTCTCACTCATTACCCAGGCTGGAGGTCAGTGGCACAATCCAGGTTCACCGTGGCCTCGACCTCCTGAGCTCGGATGATCCTTCGGCCTCTCTCCCAATTAGCTGAGACTACAGGTGCGCGTCACCACGCCCAGTTAATTGTTTGATATTTTGTAGAGATAAGAACTTCCTATCTTGTCCCGGCTGTTCTCGAATTCCTGGGCTCAAGCAATCCTTCCCGCCTCGGCCTCCCAAAGTGCTGGGATTCCAGGCATGAGCCACCGGGCCCGGCCTATCAACATGGAGGCCTCGATGGCCACACAGTGCCTGGCACGTCACGTAGCAGTGGTCCTGGAGTCTTCGGTGACCTCCAGGTGGTAGAGTGGCAGAGACTCAAGACCCAGGCCCTAGGCGCTACGTGGGCGGGCTGCGCGGCGTCAGGCTATGGCGGCAGGGCTCCGCATCCCAGCGATCGCCAGCGAGTTTCCCGGCCGCGCGCGAGGTCTTGGATTTGAGGACCTTGGCCACCAGCTAAAGGCGGGCGCGCGACCGGAAGTGCGGCGCACGGCTTCCGGTGCGCGCGGATGACGCGAAGCCCGGACTTCCGCCTTGTGGAGCCGGCGGCGGAGCCCGGGAAGCGGAGACCCCGGGTCCCGGCAGCGGGGCTGCCCGCGGGCCCAGGGCGGGGATGCACCGCCGAGGAGTAGGAGCCGGCGCTATCGCCAAGAAGAAGCTTGCCGAGGTGAGGTGGAAGAGGGCCGCCCGAGGCTACCAGACCCGGGAGGGACGGAATTCTCCCGTAGTGGAGTTCTGTATCCTTTCATTGCCTCCCAGCGGGATCCGAGACGGGTCCCGGGGGCTAAGTGTCCCCAGCTCCCGGCAGGTTGGGGTGTCAGCGTCCCTATATCACCATCCCTTTGTCCTCCTCCGCTAGGTTTGACCGCTTTCGGGTTTCTTCTCCCTCAACCTGCCCATCTTCCCCAAAACACACTTAAAAGGGACCCGCCTCTTCATACTGAGACTGTGGCCGCACAGGTGAGAGCCCCCAGTGCCCACTGTCTTAACCCATGCCTCTCTCTTTGTCTGACAGGCCAAGTATAAGGAGCGAGGGACTGTCCTGGCGGAGGACCAGCTGACCCAGGTGAGTGATCGGAGTACTCCCGGCAAGCAGGGAGACGTAACCGCGTGGTCAGCGCCCCTTTGATGTAAATCTGATTGGCAAATGTTGATTTCTAGACTGCTGAGAACTCTTAGGTATTTTTCTAATAACGATAATAGCTATTATTTTTGAGTAATAACTCATGTCTGTACTGTCCCGGGCATTTGTCCATTTTCTTTACATATAGTGTCTTGTTCAGTCTTGGTTACCATTCCATAAGGGAAGAGCTCTATTATTCAGAGTTTGAAATCGAGGACACTGAGGTGTTAAGTAATTTATCCAAGGTAGCCGGGCTCGGTGGCCTGTAATCCGGCGCCTTGGGAGGCTGAGGTGAGTGGATTGCCTGAGCCCACGGGTTCGAGACCCGCCTGGGCAACTTGATGAGACCTCATCTCTACAATAAATCAAAAAAATTAGCCGGGCATGGTAGCGCATGCCTGTAGCTCCAGCTACTTGGAAGGCTGAGGCAGAAGGATCACCGGA